ATCGCTCCGTGCCGTGCTCGGTTCGTTTAGCCGTCCCTGGCTTGGTTGGAAGAGATGGGGCAGAGCACGGCTCACTTTGGATTGGTAGTGTCGGAGCGCGGAAATTATGATACATGCAGCATGATTGCGTGAACATTTCTGAGCGGCAAAAGTAATAGATCTGTAAAGCAATATATTGTGAGAGGGCCGTGTGTTACCGTGTCCAAAACGACTCAAAATAATAAACCACAAAGTTAACAAAACGATGCACTCCACTGTGCTGAGCGAGAGCGCTTCTCTGCTGTCTTCACATGCTATCGGAAACTTCAAAAAAATAAAAACAAATTAAAAATAAGATATATATATATATATATACTTTAAGCAAATTATACTTTAAGCAAAATCGAAGAACTGGTGTGACGTAATTTCAGATAAAAGATAATGTTATCTAAGACAACTTTTTTTTCTCTTAATTTGGTTGACCTCTGTAAGATTTTCCAATTACAATTAACATTTCAATTAAAAACATAACAGTATCCTGAAAATAATGGCCAATTATAAAAATGAAAGAATTTTTATAGGATTTTTTTCTTTATAAATAAAATTAATTCTGTATAAATAAATAAACAAGCTGAGCGAGAGCGCTTCTCTGCTGTCTTCACATGCTATCGGAAACTTCAAAAAAATAAAAACAAATTAAAAATAAGATATATATATATATATATATACACTTTAAGCAAATTATACTTTAAGCAAAATCGAAGAACTGGTGTGACGTAATTTCAGATAAAAGATAATGTTATCTAAGACAACTTTTTTCTCTCTTAATTTGGTTGACCTCTGTAAGATTTTCCAATTACAATTAACATTTCAATTAAAAACATAACAGTATCCTGAAAATAATGGCCAATTATAAAAATGAAAGAATTTTTATAGGATTTTTTTTCTTTATAAATAAAATTAATTCTGTATAAATAAATAAACAGACCAGAAGCAATAAATAAATAAATAATTAGATCACAAAGATCAAACATAGGTATGTTACAAGAGCATTAAGGCTTCAATATACTTCAAGCTAAATTGAAGAACAAACTAGTGTGACGTCATTCCATCCAAATCCGGTCAAAACAACATTCATTTGGAGTGATTCTAATTAAAATCTAAACCAACATAGTTTTTTTCATGTTTAATACTGTAAAGCTGCTTGCTTTAAAGCAATCTATTGCATAAAGTGCTATAAATAAACATTGTTTGACTTGACTGGAGTGCCAAATTGCAGAGTTGGTGCAAACATATCCACATCGCTATAATCAGATGCTTTCTTAACTGCTCTTTTCTCTCCACTGAAATGTTTGTTGTGTTTATTTTGTTATTGAGAAAACGCAGCACATATTCACAAATTCATCTAAATGCAGTTCTAGGCAGTGTGGATGGCGTTGGGATGTTTGCTAACCGTTTTTTGAACCCCTTTCTACCCCTGAGCGAAGAACGAGTATATCAGGGCCTTTACTTTGCCTCTGCAGTGAAAGCTTACTAAACTAATGTGACATAGTTTGAAAGGTGAACTTGCCAATAAATCCTAGTTATTGTGTTTAAGCTAAAACCTCACAGTCGCCCCCAGTTTCACTGTGTTAAAAGCAGACTATACAGCAGCCATATTCCTGAGGGACGTACAAATAACTTCCTCAATGCATTAATCAAACGTGACACACATTCTGCCAAGAACAATCATGTGTTGAGGTTAGAGTCGTGCCAGCAACTCTTTGATAAGGTTTCCACAAGAACAAGCCACAATATGGAGAACTTCACAGGACTTATAATCGTTACTTTTCAAAAGAATGAAAATGAGAACATAAGAACTCTCAGACCTGAGAAATTTATTCAGGTCTGTTAAACTGTTCTTACCTAAACTGTTCTTAATAAAAACAGATTATGTTGATCCTTTTTTATTGTTTGGAAGAGTTTTTAAAAGCAGGACTGACCGGAAAACAAACCACTTTTACTTTCTTCATTATGACAGGCCTTTCATCTAGGCAGAGAGCCATCCCAAATCTCGTCCTGATCTGAAGTCTTATATGACCCCCCGCCTCCCTCTCACTGGATGGATGTCTGGCCTTCTTCAGAACTGACTCAATATTTTGCGTCCATGCCAGTGTTGTCCTCTTTTTCAGACAATGCTGGCTTCGGCCAATCACACATCAATTAATTCTGTTTGGATAGCCTGAAACACAAATATCTTTGCTGATACAGATTTTCTTATGGTGAGAGAACCAATGTTACGTAAAGTAGTTCTGCATAAGGACCACGCCATTTATCAAGCACTCTACAGTGGAAAAATTATTCCTGCTCTCCAGTATCCTACAAACAACCCAGCCTCAGAAAGCATGAAGAGAAGCATACGCATGGAATATTGTTTTTTTTCTGAGGAAAATCACTTATGGAAACATGACTGGAGCGATACGAGTTCCAGAGCTCGTAGCAGAGTTCCAGTTTTAACATTCTCTGCTGCCGTAAACGTGACTGTTTATGGTTTGGTCTCATTCACGAGATTCCAGCTGTCAAACGTAACGATTCTGTCCGTGCGTTACGCACCTGGCAGGAGCAACTACGTGCAACAAGGGAGGAACCTATGGTATCCTATTTTGTCAGAAAAGCAGGTGTTTGTTATGTTTGGTAGCAAATTTTGGCTTTTGGTTTTGTTACATAGGTGAGTTTTTTAGTCTCTTGACCCCTGAGCACTTTACATAAAAAGGTTAAAATGCTATTTTAAAGGGGTCATATGATGCGATTTAATTTTTTCCTTTCTCTTTGGAGTGTAACAAGTTCTTGGTGCATAAAGAAGGTCTGTAAATTTGCAAAGACTAAAGTCTCAAATCCAAAGAGATATTCTTTATAAAAGTTAAGAGTCAGCCACGCCTGCCTAAAATGGCTCGTTCTAACACGCCCCCACATGTCTACATCACGATGTGGGAAGATTTGCATAACGCCACCCAAATGGTCACGCAAAGAAAGAAGGCGTAACTATGATTCTCGCTGTAGTATTGTTGCCGCTGCCGCCATGTCCTGAAGACGCTGTGTGCTTCGTTGTGAAAGCGAAACTACTTTGTTTGGTCTTCCAAAAGAGGA